GTCTTCAAGACACCTTTGATGGTGCCATCTTTCATTGTGAGGACAAACATGCTTCCTCTCTTCGAATATTCTGCCCTTGCCTGTATTACGAATCCATCGAGAAGACATTCCAAGACCCTTCCATCTTTGAATCCCTTTCCAACGAACCATCCTCAATCGTGACCTCTTTGGTTGAATCCCTTCAATGCCAACATGGACGTGCATATCCGTGGGCAGTGGGATCGGGTCGCCAGCTCCCATCTGGGTATATTCTGGCCAAAAGGAAGAAAGACTTCCGCAGCGGAAGGCCGATTATTTCCTTTGTCGACTCCCCATTCAGACCAATGCTCAAGCTCATCTTCAGCTTATCCCTACAGCATGTCCAAATCACTTCGCTACTGGCGACGTGTACACTCTGCTCTCGATATTGCGATCGGCGCCCGTCGACGCCGATTTGATTTTGGTCAATCAAGACTTGGCCGGTTTCTTCACCAGTATTGATCAAGACAGATTCCTTCGTTCCTGGTTCATGCTCCTAGACTTTCTCCGGCCCAAAATGAATGTCTACGATGAGGAGGTCTTCTCTGTCTACCCTGGAAAGTCCAACAATCCAGGAGACATCATCAAAGGCCGTACTTTTCGCCGCCGCCTCAATGTCACTCGGAAGATTGTCATCGGCGACGTGCCAGATTTGATCAAATCAGCCTTGCATATGCAGACATTTGCCTTGGGACAACGATGCATCCGTCAGCGCCGTGGCAGTCCCATGGGCAGTCCTCTCTCCCCTGCCCTATGTCTCATGGTTGTCTCCATCAGTGAACAGATTTGGTACCACACCTTCCACCAACTTCTCTCCAATCATCACCTGTTCATAAAACATGTCCGCTACGTTGATAATCGCCTCATTTTCGGTGACAAACGCCTGACCTCATTTGACCCATATGAAGTTTTATTGGACGATGGCTTCTATGGAAAACCTATTATCCTCGAAACTGAGCCAGACCAAGAATTCCTTGGCTTCATGATCGAAACGAAGCCGCTTGAATTGATTTACCAGGGACCAACACAGGTGTCACAAGTTCTCTCACCATTCTCGGGTTCACCTCCTTCGGTCCTGCTCAGCGGTTTCCGTTCGAGATGTCACATCGTCATCAAGGGAGCTTTTCCATCCCTACGGGTTCAACAAGGCTTGTCACAATTAATTCGTTTATATGCACGAGCTGGCTTTCCCAATGAGGAACTTCAGGCCATCTCCCATCAACTTTTGATTCAGCATCAGAACTCGAGTATTGCTGTTCTCAAAAATTGCTTCTGCTGCTTTTGTAGGGTTGCTCTTTCCTTGTGTTCCCGGTGTTGCTTTTCTCTCTTGTTTCGGGTTTCTTCCTGTCCCTTCTCGTGCTTGTTGGTGTTCTGCTGTCTCTTGCTTCTCTTCTTCAGCTTCCTGGCTCAAGCTTCGCTTTCCTTTTGCTCCGTCTTCGTGCGAACGCTCATGGATCATGCTCAAGGGCGAGCGTTCCATCATCATTTGGCTAGAGCTATTATGCATCTCAACTATTTGGCAGGGCTCTTGCCTTTCTTCGAGCCCTCCATTGAATATGATGAAGCGCCTCCTCCGGCCAATTTCCGCCTGGATCATCCAACAACCAGAGGCCTGCACACTTTTGTGCCTCGTCCGACATCCGAAGGTCCCCCGACCTTGGTATCACATGGCGGCATCCCTTCCCACATGGTATTGAATCCAGAACCATACCTTCGACCGGCATCAACAAGCTCTCCACCAATCAATACATCTATTCTCACCACTGGTACATCCCGACCTGCCAGTCTTATGACGGACCCTGGTCCGACTCCGACTCCTGGGTCCACAACAACGATTACCTTCCCTACGGCACCAACACGCACTACCACACCTGTTCCAGTGCGATCAAAACAACGGTCATCATCTCTGGTGGACCCACAACCAAAGAAGAAACAGAAAGGGGAGTCCATCCCTGAACCTAGACTCGCCCACAATCCTGATGCTGTCCATTCGACCTCGTTACCCATTATTTCAGACGCCCGCTCAGGCGACATAAATTCTGATGACTCCGATGGTGAAGCTGCGTCAAGAGATGACATCAGCTACATTCATGGTGGGAAAGCAAGACCCAGAACACCTTCTCTTACCTTGACTCCCAATCCAAAAGCTCCGCCGTCTCCACAGATGCACATCCTTCATGCTATTCCTGCCGCTACACCTCCTGATCCGGCTCGTCCTTGGACCCACGCAGACGACCAAGAATTGATCGGCATGAAACAGGACACAAAGTCCAGACCTTCGTGGAAAACGATTGGAGCGAGACTCCATCGAGATCCTCAGCTCTGTAAGCTACGCTGGGGACTTTTGAAACAGACATCAGAAGTGAATGACCCACCGGGTCCTGGTAACCCACCTCATGAACTTGAGGGTGATGACTGACTCTAGCTTCAATTTCTGCGATGTCGAAAAAGCGGCATTGCTGCCTCAGTTGGGGCTGTTGAAACCTGGGTTTTCCTTTCTTCCTTACTTCCTTTTTGCTTTTCTTCTTGTCTTTTCTTTGGGGTTCTCACCTTTGTTGGTCTGTCTTTCTTTTGCCTGCGATGAATGTTCTTACTTTGTGTATCTGTTCACCCACAGCAAGTATGGCTCATTCATATTCTCGTCGACGAACAGCTCCTGAACGCTCCCGCTCCCGGGACGACAATATGTGGCAGAACCGTCGCACTCAGCAACATGATTGGCAACAAAATCCTCGACCTGAACAACCTCCTCCTGCTCCTCGAGTCCGAAAGGTCTTGGTCATCGTTGACATTGAACAAGTCCATCCGCTTATGAACAAAACCCATGATGACTCAATGGCCGCTACAACATGTGAGGTTCTCCCTCGCCTCACTCCGGTCGAAGAACGTGCATTGTTCACATACAACATCCTGCTCAATACACACCGGTTGGAAACCTTCACGGTGTACAACCTGTTATATTGCATCAGCCAGCATATCTGGTATACGTGGGATCGATTCTTATCTCCATCAGCTATGGACATCAGATGGCAAGATGATACTGGAGATACATTTGCTCTCCGCAACGAGGAATACCTCGTTACCTATCTGAACGCCTATCGATCTCACTGGACTGAGGGACAAGAACATAGTGAGTTCTTTTCAAATAACATTCATTTCTTTACGTCTCACATTCAGCCTTACATCATGCGCGTGAGTTGCCATGAGGCTCTTCCAAACCGCAACATGCTTCCTTAAGTTTGAAAAGTCTCCTGCATTTTGAGCTGTGGTGCTTTCCCTTTTGCAGGTGGTGTTTTTGCTTTTTGCTTTTTGTCGATTCTTACCTGTTAAAGTCTTTAGCTCTTGACTCCAGCTGTACCATGACCAAACGTGATTCCTCATTTGCTGGTATCACGCATCCTTCTTCCTCCATGAGCAAGCCACGTCGTCTTTCATGGAGATCTCGCAGTCATGGCCAATCCAGTAGCACTGCTGCTCCTTCGGATCCGTTGCATCCGTCCCGTGTCGACAATGCTCCCCAAGCTGGAATTTCCCTCTCACCTACCGCATCAGGTGAGTACACACCTCACTATGGGTATTCTTCGACAAATCTTGCCACACCCATACCATCTCCTGCCGATCATCAAGCTCCAATTCTCCCTGCTCCTACAAGGGAATCATATCCACTCCAGCAAGAGATGGAAGAAGTCCGACGTCAGCTCCATGCATACTATTTCGTCGAAGTCCAATCACCTCCAGAAGACGAAACCCAACCGGCGCTTCGCCGACTTATGGTGACGGAAGTGGATCGACGTGGCCGCCATCACAATAGGCAGCCGGAATATTTTTTCAACGGCATCATCGGCCACGTTCGTGCCGGCCAGAATGGCTGGATTGATTCATGGGATCAATCCTCTCAGCTCGCCAACTATTGACGACGCTATTTTCAGATCCCTGAGATCTCTCCGTATGGAAATTGGCGTCCCCATCAAGATGAAGTTCCAGAAAGCCCTGAATCGGTACATGAATCCGTCATGGATGACACCGATTCTCTCATTGCCAATGTTGACATCAATCCACCTCCTGTCCAGATTCATCAACTGGCAACGTTCTTCTGGAACATTCTCAACAATGACAGGGAGGCCAACATGGCCATACTCGAACGTCTTGAGGATCCTGAAGGAGACCTTTCCCGACACCCAGTTCAGATCTTCTCGGCGGCAGACTTGGCTCATCTTGCTAGCCACTTGGCGGAATCTACAAGGACTTTGTCTAACCAGGCACGACGCATGGAGGCATTACCTGATGACGGCCTGTGAGCTTTAGGATTAATTCATTTGATGATTCTTCCCTGTATTTTGAAGCCATTTCCGCTTCAGGGAACGGATAAGAGCCTTCACTGCGGGTGAACTTGAAAAAAGCCTCGCGGCAGCGAGGCGTGTGTGTGGAACATCTGAAAAGATGTAAAACTTCCTGTGGCTCGATGATGGTTGATTTTCGTAGTTTTTAGCTGTTGCATCTTACTTGCAGTGGGGCACAGAAGGCCCATAGAGCTGTGCCCAACGAAGCTCTCTATGGTGTCCTTAGGATATCCAGGCTGATCACCTGGACGTACCTGCATTCGTTTTGCAATATTTTGATTGTCATGGGACGTGGCTAACCCAAGAACCACCAAGCCGTTTTTCAGCTGCATCAGGACCTTCCTCAGAACTTCGAGTGTAATAGGTTTCTATCCAATGTACGGTTTTCGCAATCTGATTTACTGCTGACTTCGTCAGATGGAACAGTTGCTTGTTGCATGGACAAAGAAAGAATTCTTCTACAATGGTTTTCTCGCCATGTCATCCAATTTTTCCCGTCAGACTTTAGGGGATTGTTTGTGCACGCCCGATGCACTCCACAACAGAAATTCGATAAGATATTTTCTGAGCAAGTGTGTGTGACAGCTTAGTGCTGATCGAGAGAGCCAAGACAGCTTTGCTGATCGAAGAAAGGCTGTACCAATGTCCCCAGCAGGATTGAGGTATCAGTCCACGACCTTTGGCACGGCACCTCAAGAGACCAAATCTGGTTCGTACATCTACTCTGGTAGCCCCAGTGGATTCCATGAGTGGGAGTTCAGGACTAAGATACGTGTGGAGTTCCTCAAGCAGAAGATCAGGAAGAAGATTTTGGAGCACAGAACCAAGTCTACGTCAACTTCACCAGAACGAGGACGTGCTGAGAGGAGTCCCGTCATTGGACGAGGAAGAGATGATGAAGCCCAGGCGACTGAAGTGCCTGGAGCACGGGAGCATGATGACCCTGGAAGCCCAGAAGATGGACAAGCAGGACATGATGCACAGGGAGATGGTGATCAGGAGGAGGAGCGTTCTGACTATGCTTCACCTCGTGTTGCGCCTCGCTTCCCTGGCTCAGTCGAGGATGAACAGCTTTCAGGAGAGATCGATTCCCTGAGGGCTGAGTTGGTGCAAAAGGTGTTGGAAGGTCTGAGAGGTGATGCCTATCTCACAGCTCAAGACCTTGGTGTTGAGACTTTGATGAAGGATGGTGGAATCGAGACGCTGATCGCAACCTTGAAAAAGACGATCTTTCCCCTACAGTCCTTGGAAGCCAAGGAGCTTTTTCGAGTTGGACAGATGCAGCAAGGCCTCCTGTCGCGCCAGACGGGGGAGTCTGTGACTTCCTTCATCTCAAGACGTCGCAGATGGTGGCGCCAGGTGAAGGAGCTTGATTCCAATATGTTGATTTCCGACCAGATGCGTGCCGAGCTTCCCATCGAGAGCGCTGGTTTGACCAAGCAGGAGCAGCTCATGATCAGAACTGCTGCCAAGAACCATACGTTTGATGACTATGCAGCCATCTTGCTTGAGCACCATGGAAGGATTCACTTGAAGGATTCCAGATCCCTTGGCACCGCAGTACAAGTCCATTTCCAATTACCCCCAGAAGAAGGGACAATCCAAAGGGTCGTCCAAAGGACCACAAAGGTCCTGGTATGGAAGCAATCGCACAGCCCATTGGTCAGAAGCCAATGAGGGTACCTGGCATGAGCCAGAGGAGTATCGCGAAGAAGAAGAAGAAGGACACGAAGAACACTACGATGAACACGGGTATTTTGCCCACAACGATGAATCAGAACAGCCCACTGAGTGGGACTTTGTCGATGATGAAGACACCGCAGCTGCCTTGGTCGCGATGGCCGAGTGCGACCATGATGAAACACCAGCTGAAGGGCTGGATGAGCTTGCAGAAGCTGCCCAACAGCTTTATGTGGGTTACATGGCCGCTGGCACCCATAAGGGGAAGACCAAGGGTTTCAAAGGTAGAGACAAAGGAAAAGGCAAAGGAAAGCACATCTTCAGGACACAGCTCAGTGTACAGGACCGAGCCAAGCACTTGGCAGAGCTGAAAGCACGCTCCAAGTGTCTCAGGTGCGGAAGCACAGGACACTGGGCAGGTGACCCGATTTGCAAATTCCCCAGCCAGGGGAAGAAGCCGCCCGTCAGTACATGGCTATCAGTGATGATGAGTCACCTGCAGGTGAGTATGGTGTTTTGCATGTGAGCTCACGGCAAGAAAAGGAACATGCTGCTTTCATGGCTTACAAGACCCCAGTTTCCAGACGTTCCAAGGCACCACCTTCAGCAGGTGGATCATTGGGTGGATCAGCCGAATCAGGTGATTTCAGCATGGTCAGTGACAACCGCAAGGACAGGGCACGTAGAACTCGAGTCCCGGCCTCTGCACAGGGAAGTGAAAGCTTGCCTGATGGGTCTGACAACAAGTTCACGTTTGGTCAACATGTTGGGTTGTCTTACCATGAGGTTTTGCATAAGTACCCTGGTTATTACCTATTGGGAAAGGAGCAGAAGTCACCTAGCAAGGGTTTGGCAGACTTCTTGGATTGGGCCACAGACAACTATGAAATCAATGGTGCCTGTGCGAACAGTGAGCACGAAGCCCACGCCAACGGCAGGTGTGGAGTACAAGCAGCCACCGCCGAAGCCTCCACCCCCGCCACATCGGGAGGACAAGAAGTCGATTACGATTCGATCAAGGACACCTGTTCGCCGTGCAGCACCTGGCTCAGCAGGAGACCGACCTGGAGGGATTTTCCTTGGCTTGGTTATGCTTCTTCAAGGACTTCAAGCGCCAGTGCCGGTCGTCCGGAAGAGTCTGTGGAATCAGCTCCGGCGAACGCGCTTCTCAAGGCAATGGAAAAGATGCAAGAGCAACTCAATGAGCTGAGAAGGGAAAAGGAGGAGGAAGCATCCCGCCGACGCCGGCGGCGTTCGAGGTCCTATTCCCGACGCCGCAGGCGATCAAGGAGCGATTCGAGAGATTCGAGACGTCGAGGGCAAAGAAGGCCGCGGACACCAACACCGCCGAGGGCCGAACTCAGAGGTCGAGCCCCACTTCCGAGGCCTCCGTCGGTACCACCGCCGGACAGAAGCCGCTCGGAGAGCGAGCGCAATTGGCCGAAGCAGGCCGGGTACAGCGGATACAGCGGATACAGCGGATACACAGAAAACCGCTGGCCTGCCCATTGGAAGTTCCCGGTGCTGCGGCAGCCCCCCAACACATGGAACCGAAGAGTTCAGGTTGGAAAGACGCCTGTGGAGTTGTTGGACGAGCTGTACTTTGCCGAGAACAAGGGATGGGGATTCAAAGCCCGGTGTTTGAGGTGGATTGGTCCCTACTTCCCTGGGTCTGACCCGTCATCCAGACAGCGCACAGCTTTGGAGAACGCCAACCATGAGTCCAACATCAAGGTCGTCGTCTTGGGAGAAGACCCTGCTCCTCTTCAGTTCAGCACAGAGCTGATGAAGGGTGAAATGCCATGGACTGTCACTACGTTTGACTACGTGGCAGGGCAGTGGACCCTGACCGGAGTTCGAGAGATTTGCACTGACCCCCCAGCATGGAACCAAGAAGCCCAGTCGAGGATCATGATGTTTGTGCCCGGTGACGCACTCACCGAGGAGGTTGACGATGATCTCACTGGTGACGCCGGTGATGGTGAAGAAGGACATCATCCAGATGATCCAAAGGACGATGAGCCTGGTGATGGTGAGATGCAACCTGAAGAGCATGAGGAGGACGTCCATGACCCTCCAGAAGCAGGGAACGCAACAGAGTACCCTGGAGTGGAAGGTTACGAAGCAATGCTTGGTGTTGAGTTGTCATGTGATGGAAAAGACACCCCAATTCAAGAGAACCCCCAAAGACAGATTTCCGATGAAAGTGTTGTAGGCCCCTTGCAACTGTCCAATGATGTAGGTGACCACCCAGCTTGTGCCCTGGACTCATCTCAGGAGTTCACAGAGCAGCTGACTGTGCAGCCACCTGGCCGAGAGATCGTTCTGTCACCGTCTTCAGAGGGTGAAGACAACGATGTGGAGCGGTGTGGCCCACCTGTGGTGGAAGCAATGTACAGCGTTGACTGTGGAGTCTCTTGCTGTACTATGAAGAAGGGTGAAAAACAAGCGTTTGTTGCAGGGTTGTCCATCATGAATATACAAGACAGGGTTTTGACAGCGCTGGTGAGCCATACCCCATTGGACTCACGACACATGATTGTTTTGAGGATTGCAATTTGCCCTGGAAAACCCATGATGGAGTTGAGAACCTGGACATCCAGGAGGATTGGACAAAGACACGCAAGAAGCTGATTGAAATGGTTTCCCAAAAACCACCTGGTTTGATTGTTGCCTACGTTTCCAAGACTGATCGTTTGGACTTGTTGGGAGATCTTTGGGTTGAATCAGACTTGAATAGCTGTGGAGCGGTTGTGTTTTGCCCACATCATGATTTCCATGACTTCCATGATATTTGCATGTCAACACGTGGTGATTTGACCGTCTACCTGGCAGGCCCCTTTGCAGACGAGCTTCAGGAGGAGATCCTGACTTGGGACCAGTCACATGTCACCCCAAAATGCTTTGAAGATTCCAAGAAAATTGACATGCTTGAACTGCTTTGCAAGAAGTCAGAAGAAAGGTATTTGTGCAGTTTTGCACGTACCTGTTTTGTTGGTGAAGCAATCGAAGATGATGAGGAGGATTTGGACCCCTCGTCTGAAGACATGCCAGCACAACCCATGGATGATTCAGTTGACCTGGAACAGCTGACCCCAGCTGAACAAGAGTCCCTAGCACTTGACCAGCTTGCGCTGCCAGGAACCATGGATGAACAGAAGCGCATGGCACTGTGGAGAAGGCTCCCACAGCGCACGCGCATAGCCATCAGGCGCTTGCACCGTCAGTTTGGACACCCCACGCCTCAGACTCTGAGAGCGATCTTGAAGGCAGGCAAGGCACCTGCTGAGTTGGTGGAAAGTGCACGCCTGGTCAGATGCACAGTTTGTGAAGATGCCAAGCCACGTCCCAGAGAGCATCCAGTAGGACCCAAGTTTCAATTTGAGTTCAACGCTTGTGTAGGCATGGATGTTGCAGAAGCCAGAGATGATGGTGGAAACAAGTATTCCATACTCAGTTTTGTGGACATTGCCACTGGGTTTCACTTGGCTGAAGTTGTCAAGGTTGGTGGTGGCATGCCAACATCCGAGCGTTGTGCTGATGCTATGCTTAGCCGATGGGTTAGCTGGGCCGGCTGGCCAAAACAAGCTACCATGGATCGTGGTATGCAGAATCGAGGCGAGGTACAAAGGTTGCTAGCCAGCCATGGTTGTGAGGTGATCTTTGCGCCCTTGGAGACACCCTCAGCCATAGGAAAGGTTGAAAGGGCACAAGGTGTGATGAAAGCAATGTTGAGGCGTGTAGTAGCTGATGCTGAGGCTACAGGTGAGAGAGACTTCAGTATTTGTTTGCATGAAACTTTGGCCACCAAGAACCCCATGGGCCGAGTCAATGGATACAGTCCGTCTCAATGGGTATTGGGTAAGAACCGGAGGTGCCCCGGCAGTATGACTGACCTGGAGGAAGCTGGAAACCTTGGAGTGTTGGAAGAGTCACTTGACCCGTCAGCCCGTTTTCACCTGAACCATGCAGCCCGCATGGCCGCTCAGAAGGCTTTTGTGCACCTGGACACGTCTTCACGCATCCAAAGAGCACTGCTTCGAAATGCAGCTGTACAGGACAAAACCTTCAATGTGGGAGATCTTGTGGTGTATCGCCGTGACAACCAAGTTGGTGGGACGATTTGGTCCACTGCTTCACGCATCATTGGCAAAGACCCACACCGTGGTCTTTGGCTTTTACATGAAGGTGTTCCCGTTTTGGTTGCTGAAAACAAGGTGAGGTCAGCAGATGAATCTGAGACCCTGGCGTACTCACTGCTGGTGATCGTGTCTGGCCCCCAGCAACAGAGATACCTGAAGGTTGCCGACGAAGCACCGTCGAGCTCAGCAGCAGGAAGTGGTCGAGGACAGAAACGCTATGATGTGTACGCATGTGGATGACCTGCTCTTCGCCTACACGGACGAAGGCAAGGAAGCTGTGGATGCCATCCTCAACCGCTTTTCGGTTGGGAAGATCGAAGAAGGATCGTTCCGCTACTGGGGACGCCGCTTTTCTCAGGATGAAGATTGCACGATTCACGTGGATGTCCGTGACAACACACGGAACTTGAAACCCGCCGCAATTGGGAAAGACCGAAAAATGAATGACCCCCTGACTCAGGAGGAATTGACTTCTCTCCGGAGTGTGGTAGGAGGACTGGCCTGGATCAGCCGCTATGGTCGGCCAGATCTTGCTTATCGCGTGAATGAGCTTCAGCGTTGTTGCCATGCCAAGAGCACAGTTCAGAGCCTGAGGATGCCAACAGAGTTGTTGAACTTGCTTTGCAGGGAAGTGACTTCAAAATCACTTTCAAGACTGATTGGATCGACTGGAGCGACCTTGCGGTCGTCACCTTTTCCGATGCCAGCTTCGCGAATGAAGCTGAGTACAAAAGTCAGCAGGGACGAATCCACTACATCACGTCCCGCAGCGATGTGAAGACAGGTGAGCACAGATTTCACCTGATCGGATTTGGATCTTCGACTTTGAAAAGGGTTTGTCGAGCCACTTTACAGGCCGAATCGTATGCCTTGCAGGGATCAATCGAATCTGGTGACAAGATTCGAGCTTTGCTCTGCGAATTGATCGGACGCCTGACTTCAGTCAAGGAATGGTATCAGCAGAGTCAGCAAGCAATGCTGCACTTGTACTTCACCGACTGTCGCTCTCTCAGCGACCATCTGTTGCGTGAAGTTGCACGCAAGGTGCAATACAAACGCTTAGGAATCGAACTCTCTGCACTCCGTCAAGCGCTTTGGATCAATGCTGCGAAAACTTCCCAGAAGTACTACCCGGCAGGTGATGAAGTTGAATGGATCGATACCGGCAGGCAGTTGGCTGATTGTCTGACCAAAAGTATGAAGCCTGATTTCCTTATCAGGGTGCTTGCCGCAGGGTACATCAACGTGCTGAAGCAGAACTGAGAGACCATGGAACATGTACAGAGGCAGGAATAGTAACCTATGTAGTACAGAAGTACCAGAATGCGGAAGTCTGGTATGCCCTTTTGGCAAATCCAATAGGAATAGAGTTGCATGCCTTATTTTGTATATAGCACTGCGCATTCACACCAGTAGATAAGACGGGTGTGATTCCACGCTGTCACATGCATGGCTTTAGAAATGCCTAGTTGTGAATGACTGTTCTGTCACGCACCTTTTGGCTTAAACCTTTAGGGCCCTTGAGCTTTTCGTGGCGACGAACGAAAGGATCCAGCCGAGATTCAAACTATATATACTATATATATACTATATATACTGTATATACTATATATACTATATATACTATATATATACCACATATATATATTTATATACTATATATACTATATATATAGTATATATATACTATATATACTATATATACTATATATATACTATATATACTATATTACTATATATACTATATATATACACTATATATATACTATATATACTATATATACTATATATACTATATATACTATATACACATACTATACAACATACATACATAGATACATACATACATACGTACGTACGTACGTACGTACTTACGTACGTACATACTTACGTACGTACATACATAAATGCATACATGCATACATGCATACAACATACATGCATACATGCATAGATACATAGATACATAGATACATAGATACATACATCCATACATGCAAAGATACATCGATACATCGATACATACATACATTCATAGATACATAGATACATAGGTACATAGGTACATAGATACATAGATACATAGATGCATAGATGCATAGGTACATAGATGCATAGATACATAGTTACCTAGATGCATCGATACATCGATACATCGATACATCGATACATCGATACATCGATACATCGACACATCGATACATCGATACATACATACATACATACATACATACATACATACATACATACATACATACATACATACATACATACATACATTACTTACATACATACATACATACATCGATACATACATACATACATGCATGCATGCATGCATGCATGCATACATACATACATACATACTCTGACATTCTCTCTGGCATTCTATCTGACATTTTTCTGGCATTCTATCTGACATCTTTCTGGCAGTCTATCTGGCATTCTGTCTGGCATTCTTTTTGACATTCTGTCTGGCATTCTTTCTGGCATTCTCTCTGACATATATTGTGACATCCTGTCTGGCATTCTATCCCGCATTCTGTCTGGCATTCTTTCTGACATTCTGTCTGGCATTCTTTCTGGCATTCTCTCTGACATATATTGTGACATCCTGTCTGGCATTCTATCCGGCATTCCTTCTGGCATTCTTTCTGACATTCTGTCTGGCATTCTTTCTGACATTCTGTCTGGCATTCTTTCTGACATTCTCTCTGACATATATTCTGACATTCTGTCTGGCATTCTATCCGGCTCTCTGATATATATTCTGACATTCTGTCTGGCATTCTATCCGGCATTCTGTCTGGCATTCTTTCTGACATTCTGTCTGGCATTCTGTCTGACATTCTTTCTGACATATATTCTGACATTCTTTCTGACGTATATTCTGACATTCTGTTTGGCATTCCATTCTCTCTGACAGATATTGTGACTTTCTGTCTGGCATTCTTTCTGGCATTCTTTCTGACATATATTCGGAGGGGTATTTTTTTTGGCATTTTTTTTTTGGCTTTTTTTTTTGGCTTCTGGCTTTTGGCTTTTGGCTTCTGGCTTTTGGCTTCTGGCTCCTTCGGTTTCTGGCTTCTGGCTTGTATTTGCTGCATTTTGGAGTGCTATTTGCTGCAGTTTGGAGGCAATTTGCATGCCCATTTGGCTTTCGGCTTTTGGCTTTGGCTTCACTTGACTCTTGGCTTTTGGTTTTTGGTTTTTGTTGTTTTTTTTTGGCTTTGGTTTCACTTGGCTTTTGGCTTTTGGCCGCACTTCTGTTGAATGTATGTTTGCACATAACATTTCATAATTTCATAGAATACATTGCATATAAATTGCATGTAAACTGCACAGAAACTACAGTCGTAATATGAGCTTATATGCATGCTGTTGCGAGAGGAATTTAGACCTGTGTTCAACAAGTGTCCCAACTACTTGCTGTTCCTAAAGTTCTTGAGACCCTATTTCAAGACACTTGTTGAACTGTTGTTCTCCAATTATATTTGCTTGAATTGTGTTTCACAATGGTTGCATGGCAGTCAGAAGTTTCCCTGTGTACCTTTGAGTTTATATGCATGCTTATCGGAGAGAAACTGCAACCTTTTTCAACATCAAGTGTCCAATGGAAAAAACAACACCGGGGTGCAAGTCGCATAGGACGCATTGCGGGGGGAGGCGCTGCGCCCTCCCCCC